TATATATCCTGAGGCAAGATACATTCACCTCTATAATATTCAAACCTTTATCTAAAATTATTTTAGATAGAATGTGATGGTGTTTTTTTTTATCTGATCATTTTAATTGACTTTAATTTTTTATTAAAAAATATGCATCAAAATATAATCAATCAAATATAGAGTTTAAATAATATTTGTAAATAATATGAATAATCATGAGTAAACTCATATGCAAGAGAAGTGATATAAACTGATTTATAGTTATTCAGTCATCCTAACCTATATCTATTCTCGATTTCCGTTGAAGTTATTTGGATCTTAATGATGCTAAGAGGAGAGGGGGTGCAATAGCATTTTTAATCAATTTTAAAACTTATTCAATAAATCAACATATTTTGAAAACTTGATTGATCAAGTTATAGTAGAATAATACTAAGTCACAAGTAAAAAGCAAGTAAAGAGAGACAAACTAATTTATAGTGATTCGATCTTTTCGATCTACATTCACTCTCAAGTTATCGGCTTTTACTATCGATCTTATTTCCAATGAATTAAGATCAACTACCCTTATTACAACTTTATTTTTTGAAGGGTGTAAGAGATAACCATTATACTCTCTTTTTACAAGATATCTCTCACCTTATACAACTTAGAATTGTAACTAAAATCAAGAGGAAAAGGAAACTCAAACTATACTCAAAATGAGAGCTTATAAAACTTCACTAGCTCAAGAATATATGTCCTATCAACGAAGCTTGAATGGAGTATTTATAGGCCCTTAAGGTTTTAAAATAAAACTAAAAATTTTAATTCTCAAAATTTTGGGGTGCAAGAGATATTATCATTGACATTGGGTAGTATTACCGTCAACACTATACAGTACTACCATCATAACTTTTGATACAACCACGAGTCTAGACTCTAGTGATAGTATTTTCATAATTTTGAATTTTAAGTCGTACTACCATCACCCTAAGTACTACTATGTAGGTGGTATCACTATTGAAAAAACTAATAAAGCACAAACAATACTTGTTAACTGACTTAAGTAGTATTGCCACCTAGGCCTGATAGTACCATTGCTCATGCCTAGTTTAGGCCATTGATTTGGCCTTCTAATAGGCCCAATTTGGCCTGACTTCAAGTCAAATGACTTTCTACATAAGTTGGCTTTGTTTCAATCCAATATAAATTAAATTAGTTTAAAATAATATCGATAAAGACATTGACAAATCAACTACTCATCTAACGCATTTTTGAAGCTTTCAGTACATTATTCACTCTATCGGCATGTCATCCGATCTTTTGGCACTTTGTCTAACCTTCCAATACATCACCCTTTTCTTTGGTATATCATAGATTTTAGTGACATATCAATTTTTCTATAATATCCTATCTTCCGACACAATATATGAACATTCTGACATGATGTCTGAACCTTTAGTGTGAAGTCTGATTTGTGGCATATCAACCAATCCTCCGACTTGATGTCCAATTTTCGACACGATAATTTCTCGGTACAATGTTCGACTCTCCTACTCAATAATTGACCCTTCGATTATTCGATTCTATGATAGAAGTATTTTTTATATCACTTATCTCAAAAATATATTAGTCTCATAAACTCATTGATTGATTTTATTATCAAAATCTAGGATTTAACAAAAGCCATCAACTTTTGCTAATGATCTTCCTTCCGATGGGTAAAGATCAACTACTCTTATTAAAATATTCTTCTTTTTTAAACTTAGGAGAGAATCTTCATACTAACACCTTTACAAGAAGCCTCTCACATCTTACAACTTAGTATCACATCTTAAGAAAAAAAAGTGAGTCAAACAAAACTCAAAGAGAGAAATACAAAACTTCACAAACTCAAGATGCTACATCAACTAAGTTGGAGTGGGCTATCGCTGATATTAAGTAGTACTACCATCATAACTTTTGAAATAAGTTATAATTATAGACTCGAATAATCCTATCACTATAATCTTAGACTTTTAGGTGGTACTACCACTACCCATACTGTTGCAATTATTGATAATTATATCGATTGACTAAGGTAGTACCACCACCTAGTCCTGGTGTTATAACCACTAATAAGCAAATTAAGTCGTGTGTTTGATTTTCTGGGCCCAATTATTTAAACTTGGGCTCTGATTCAGCTTGATACCAGATCAAATTGGCCCAAAAATAACCTCGATCAAGACCTTGACTTATTAACCACTTATCTGACACATCTTTAAACATTTTGGTAAATTGTCCACTTTTTTAACATGTTGGATCCTACGATATTTCGTCTGAACCTTTGTCATCTCGTCTTATCCTTCGATATATTAAATGATTCTTCTGTATATTTTGTCATAACATATGATCTTCTAATGTGATATTTGAACCTCTAACACAAAGTTTATCCTTAGGCATGTCTACCAATCCTCTAGCTCGATATTCAATTTTCGACACGATAATCTTCTAAAATAATATTTGACTTTTTTGCTTGATATTTGATCATTCAATGGTCCGATTGATGGTTGAAGTATTTCATGTGTCATTCATCTTAAAACTATATTAATTCATCATATTCATTAATTAATTTAACATCAAAATATGAGATTAAACGATTACAGAGTTATCTTTATACATCCCAACGACAACGTGATCCTCTCCTATAGCTCCAATTGTCCTACTTTTCTCTCGATGCTAAAGGGATTGCAATCCGGGAAGGAATAATCAAAGCTTGCTCCATGCATTTTCTAAAAATTTGTTAGGTATTAACTTTCTAATCAATACAAATTTTGTTCACAATGCCTACATGGTACCTAGGCACCTTTTTTTTCTGAAAATTTTACTTAATTCAGATGATCAAAATAGATTGTTTTCATTATACATATGTATATATATTTATCTCTATTGGTCTTAGTTCGGTGTTTGAAATCTCTCAGGGTAATATTTCAAATCGGTTTAACTTTCTACCATTGACATGTTATCTTTTGAGTAATAAGTAATTTTATTCCCAAAACATATATGTTTATTGAAGCTACCCTCCGTTATTGCGACTAATGTAAGCATTCCTTCAGAAAGTTCAGCAAAGACACTATTAGGCACTACATAATCACTAATAGCATGATTGAAATTTTCTAGTTCTCCCATAATGTATCGACAATTCCTTATACCATGTATCGACACCTGATATTTCTCTCCTTGGTTGAAAGATTGGAGTGGAGTGCCTTCCATTTTAACTATCACAGGTAGTTCTAGAGGGAGAATGTGACTCTTTAAGTATACAACATTCATCATAAAAATCTCGATTCGATAAGAAATATGAACTTTTTTATAATTAAATAGGGCCACATAGTCTAATATTTTATGCAATCTCAAATAATTTTTTACTCAATCATTTCTAGATCCACTATAGAAAATCTTACATTTGTCCAAAATAATTTACACTATTTCATATAGATATGTCCTAATTTAATAAAGATCCCTTCATATTTAAATTCCTAATCCTTCAAATAATTTTAATTTGAATATAAATCTAAAAATACTTACCAACCTAACAGATCAGTATTTTCAATCTTATATTTCAAGCTAAATCTTCAATTATATTTATGGAGTCGATTGTCTGTGCTTTAATACAACATATATATATATATATATATATATATATATATATATATATATATATATATATATATATATATATAT